CTTTGCATACATGTGGATCGTGTTAAGAATATGTTTTGTGATAGCTATATTGTTGAATTTGCTTATGATCCTACATGTAATTATTATAGGGAGGAACATATGCTTGTAGGAATTGCAATAATATCAAGTTTCCTCTCTATGTGTTGAAAATCTTGAAGATTTGCTTGTTTTACCTTCCTATGCAAGTTGATTCTTGTTCCCACAAGTTGTTTGCTCACAAAATCCCTATGCATAGGAAGTGGGTTAGACTTAAATGTGCTAGTCATATTCTTCATGATGCTCTCTTTATGTTACAATTCTTATCTTTTATGTGAGCATCATTGAAATCATCATGCCTAGCTAAGGGCGTTAAACGATAGCACTTGTTGGGAGGCAACCCAATTTTATTTTTGTTCCTTGCTTTTTGCTCCTGTTTAGTAATAAATAATTCATCTAGCCTCTGTTTAGATGTGGTTTTATGTTTTAATTAGTGTTTGTGCCAAGTAGAACCTTTGGGAAGACTTGGGTGAAGTCTTTGCGATCTTGCTGTAAAAACAGAAACTTTTGCGTTCACAAGATTAGCTGACATTTTTTACTAGAGAGTGCGGTTAGGTTGATTCTTTTTGCAGATGATTAATAGAAAAATTCCTCAGGTCCACCAATTTATTTCAGAATTTTTGGAGTGACAGAAGTATTCAAAACCTCCAGATTGCTACAGACTGTTCTATTTTTGACAGATTTTGTTTTCATTGTGTTGTTTGCTTATTTTGATGAATCTATGAGTAGTATCGGAGGGTATGAACCATACAGAAGTTGGAATATAGTAGATATTACACCAATATGAATTTATAATGAGTTCAGAACAGTACCTAAGTGGTGATTTATTTTCTTATACTAACGGGGCTTACGAGTTTTCTGTTAAGTTTTGTGTTGTGAAGTTTTCAAGTTTTGGGTAAAGATTCGATGGACTATGGAATAAGGAGTGGCAAGAGCCTAAGCTTGGGGATGCCCAAGGCACCCCAAGGTAATATTCAAGGACAACCAAGAGCCTAAGCTTGGGGATGCCCCGGATGGCATCCCCTCTTTCGTCTTCATTCATCGGTAACTTTATTTGGAGCTATTTTTTTATTCACTACATGATATGTGTTTTGCTTGGAGCGTCATTTTATTTTCTTTTGTTTTTCTTGCTGTTTGAATAAAATACCAAGATCTGAAATTCTTAAATATTAGAGAGTATTCACATAGTTACATGATTATTCAACTACCCATTGTGCTTCGCTTATATCTTTCGGAGTAGTTTGTCATTTGCTCTAGTGCTTCACTTTTATCCTTTTACAGCACGGCGGTGGTTTTATTTTGAAGAAATAGATGAACTCTCATGCTTCACTTATATTATTTTGAGAGTCTTTAGAACAACATGGTAGTTTGTTTTGGTTATGAAACTAGTCCTAATATGATAGGCATCCAAGATGGGTATAATAAAAACTTTCATATAAACTGCATTGAATACTATGAGAAGTTTGATACTTGATGATTGTTTTGAGATATGAAGATGGTGATATTAGAGTCATGCTAGTTGAGTAGTTTGAATTTGAGATATACTTGTGTTAAAGTTTGTGATCCCGTAGCATGCACGTATGGTGAACCGTTATGTGATGAAGTCGGAGCATGATTTATTTATTGATTGTCTTCCTTATGAGTGGCGGTCGGGGACGAGCGATGGTCTTTTCCTACCAATCTATCCCCCTAGGAGCATGCGCGTAGTACTTCGTTTCGATAACTAATAGATTTTTGCAATAAGTATGTGAGTTCTTTATGACTAATATTGAGTCCATGGATTATACGCACTCTCACCCTTCCACTGTTGCTAGCCTCTCTAGTACCGTGCAACTTTCGTAGGTACCATAAACCTACCTATTATGGCTTTTACTATGGACTCTTGAATAGATCGATCAGAAAGGATAACTTTGAGGTGGTTTCGTACCCTACAATAATCTCTTCGTTTGTTCTCCGCTATTAGTGACTTTGGAGTGACTCTTTGTTGCATATTGAGGGATGGTTATATGATCTAATTACGCTATTAGTGTTGAGAGAACTTGCACTAGTGAAAGTATGAACCCTAGGCCTTGTTTCCTAGCATTGCAATACCGTTTATGCTCACTTTTATCATTAGTTACCTTACTGTTTTTATATTTTTCATATTAAAAAAACATATATCTACCATCCATATTGCGCTTGTATCACCATCTCTTCACCAAACTAGTGCACCTATACAATTTACCATTGTATTGGGTGTGTTGGGGACATAAGAGACTCTTTGTTATTTGGTTGCAGGGTTGCTTGAGAGAGACCATCTTCATCCTACGCCTCCCACGGATTGATAAACCTTAGGTCATCCATTTGAGGGAAATTTGCTACTGTCCTACAAACCTCTGCACTTGGAGGCCCAACAACGTCTACAAGAAGAAGGTTGTGTAGTAGACATCAAAGGTTTCCTAACCATAGACATGAGTTGTCATTTCATGAACGGGATCACATCATTAGGAGAATGATGTGATGGACAAGACCCACCCATTAGCTTAGCATAATGATCGTTCAGTTTATTGTTATTGCTTTCTTCATGTCAAATACATATTCCTTCTACTATGAGATTATGCAACTCCTGGATACCGGAGGAATACCTTGTGTGCTATCAAACGTCAAAACATAACTGGGTGATCATAAAGATGCTCTGCATGTATCTCCGAAGGTGTTTGTTGAGTTGGCATAGATCGAAATTAGGATTTGTCACTCCGAGTATCAGAGAGGTATTTGTGGGACCTCTAGGTAATACACATCATAAGAAGCCTTGCAAGAAAAGTGACTAATGAGTTAGTTACATGATGATGTATTACGGAACGAGTAAAGAGACTTGCCGGTAACGAGATTGAACTAGGTACAAAGATACCGACGATTGAATCTCGGGCAAGTAACATACCGATGGACAAAGGGAATTACATATGTTGTCATCATAGTTCGACCGATAAAGATCTTCGTAGAATATGTAGGAGCCAATATGGGCATCCATGTTCCGCTATTGGTTATTGACCGGAGAGGTGTCTCAGTTATGTCTACATAGTTCTCGAACCCGTAGGGTCCGCACGCTTAACGTTCGTTGACGATATAGTGTTATATGATTTGGTGACCGACTGTTGTTCGGAGTCCAGGATGAGATCACGGACATTACGAGGAGTCTCAAAATGGTCGAGAGGTAAAGATTTATATATGAGACGATAGTATTCAGACACCGGAAGTGTTTCGGGGGTTACCGGGTACTTATCGGGTCACCGGAAGGGGTTCCGGGCACCCCCGGCAAAAGATATAGGCCTTGTGGGCCAAGAGGGGAAACACACCAGCCACAAGGGGCTGGTGCGCCCCCATATGGGCCGGTCTAAGGAGGAGAAGGAAAGGGGAGAAGGGAAAGGAAGGTGTGGACTAGGATTCCCACTTCCTTCCCTCTCCCCCTCTTTCCTTCCCCCTCCGACAAACATGGCAGGGGGGTGCGGCCAAGGGCAGGAGCCCAAGTAGGATTCAGTCCTACTTGGGGCGTCCCTTGGCCTCTCCCCTCTCCCTTCCACCTATATATATGAGGGGGGCTAGCACACCCAAGACAATTACCTAGCCGTGTGCGGCGTCCACCTCCACCATTTACGCCTCCGGCCATATTTTCGTAGTGCTTAGGCGAAGCCCTGCGGAGATCACTTCACCATCACCGTCTCCATGCCATCGTGCTGATGGAACTCATCTACTACCTCGATGTCTTGCTGGATCAAGAAGGCGAGAGACGTCACCGAGCTGAACGTGTGCAGTACTCGGAGGTGCCGTACGTTCGATACTTGATCGGTCAGAGCTATAATAAGTTCGACTACATCAACCGTGTTGTCAAACGCTTCCGCTTATGGTCCACGAGGGTACGTAGACACACTCTCCCCCTTGTTGCTATGCATCTCCATGGATAAATCATTGCGTGTGCATAGATTTTTTTTGTTTTCCATGCAACGTTTACCAAGAACGGATGTGTCCTTTTTTGTAGTGAATGTAGATGAACTATGTATGATCAATGTAGTATGATGAGGAACTATATATGATCAACATCGTTGCAAGTTTCTCCCTTTTGTTAAATTTTACAGTTTCATATATGGGGTCTGATCTGCAACGCACGAATTCGCCCTGCAAATTAGATCTGCAACGAACAGTAAACGCATTTTGCGGGTCAACATTATACGGGGTCTACTAGAGATGCTCTAAGCTTGTTTCCTTGTCTCGTTATCTTCATCCTGATGCAGGATTGATTGAGATCTCGGATGGACAAAATATCATCAAATTAGACGAATTAATAAACAACCCAGAAATGATACTGATGCTTATTTCTAGTCTACTGCTTAAAAATTCTCACAAGCATAAGATTAGAGATATTGATAGGAAGATGCATTCGTTTATATTGCCTTGTTTCCCAGCAATGGATAATCAAAAATTCGGGGAAATGTCACAATGCCGAGATGGAAAATGCGTTTATTAAAATGAAGTCATTAATTCCTAGAACTCAGGACCTTTGTAGAATCCCGAATTGAAATGAAAAGGCTAGGTTAATACTGAAAAATGATTAAAAAAACTGAAATCACATGAAGTAAAAAATGGAGGGAAATTGCAAACCGATAAGTGTATTTCTTTACATGTTCTTTATTTATTGAACTTCGCCATTGTATGTGACCATATACATGTTTTCTTTACAAACATTAGTATATTATGAAGGAATAAAATAGAGGGAAATTGCAAACCGATAAATGAGTTTATTTACATGTTCTTTATTTAACAAATGTTGGTATGTTGGTATAGAAAAAAAGCTCAACAATATATTACAAATTTTCTTGGAACCAATGTGAAACCTTCTCTGTTCCTACCTTACATGCTTTTGTTCACAACAACAATATAAGATAAACGTCACCACCTCTTATTTGACACGACATATACATGCAAGCAAGTTACGACTTACGAGACCGGTTCATTATGAGAAGGCGCTCTACTACCTCTGTCATCAATGGTCTTTGATCCACATCAAGGTTAAGGCATTCCAAAGCGATCGCTGCCAAACTATCAAGAATCTCCAAATCTCCTTCGGCTACAATTTCCTTGTCAAACAACTCTGTCACTTTCTTCTCTTTCTTCCCAGCTTCAAGGAAACTGTTTACTAAGCTGCCGCCGTCAGAATGTGTGGCTTTCTGCCCACTAATAAGTTCCAGTATGACAACACCAAAACTGTAGACATCACTTTTCTCGGTTAGTAGGCCTGTTTGTAGATACACTGGATCGATATAACTCATGTCACCAATGACAGATCCGGTGTGTTTTTTGTCTCTCGCAATCAGCCTTGATATGCCAAAGTCTGATATCTTCGGCGCAAACTTATCATCCAAGAGTATATTTGCAGGTTTAACATCACCATGTATGATTTTGGCATTGGTTTTTGAGTGCATATAGACCAGAGCATCCGCTGATTCGACAGCAATACTTAAACGCACACCCAAGTTGAGCGCCACCTTCTTTTTGCCATGAAGAATGTCATCAAGGCTACCATTGGAGAGAAACTCATAGACTAACATCGGGATATCAACTTCTAGGCAACAACCTATGAGCCTAACGATGTTCTTGTGGATTACTCGAGATTGAATGATGACTTCGTTTGCAAAATGTTCATTCTCTAGCATAGTACCACTAATTGGCTTCTTTACCGCAACTTCTTCATTATCAAGAAAGCCCTTATAAACTTCGCCAAAGCCACCTTTTCCAATGAAATTGCTACTCTTCAAAATTGGCTTGAGCTCCTCCTTTTTGAAAAGTTTTATGAACTTTGCCTTCTCTAACGTAGGCCCGCCGTTCTTTTGATAAAACTCTCTTGTCTTTTGTTTCTCTTTGCGAAGAAGAATAAGGAATGATATAGCCGCAATGATAAAAATGCCACCTATTCCACCTATGTGGACACAAAACAAAATGATTTCACATCACTAAAACTTTGAATAATTTAATCTATCTGCATAGGAGAATATAAAAAGTAATCAATTATTTTAATAATACACTTTGAATTTGTCACCACTATGGAAAAAACTACAGCAAATAGCTCACAAATGTTATCAAGGACGATGTAAACCATCATACTTTATGGGTGGGTAATAATAGGAGACTATATTAGACGGTTTGGTGTGAAGAACCACCTTTAATTAATATGTCGATAGCTGAGTAGAAGCCAAAGAAATTCACCCAGAACATCCGAGGATTCCTTGTAAGGGCCTCTTCAACTCAAAGGATTTTTATAGGAATTATGGAGCATATGAATCCCTTAGAAAATTTTCCTATGTTGGTCATCTGTGTTGTATGATTGAATCATATAGGAATGTTTACAAATGATTGGTTCGTACTACATTTCACAGAAAAAAATCATCCACTCAGTCATCTTGGAAGAGGCTTTGAAATCACAGAGTTTGTTTCCCCATCCACCTTTAGGGCTCATACTCCAATCTAACACCACATAAATCAAGATGGTCATGTATCGTAATGATGCAGAGGCCAGAGGTTTCAACCTTCATTTCTTAAAAAATAGCCCGCATATAAGTCCCCATTGGCGATAGAGTAATGGGCTAATGGGACTCATTTAGATTAAATACTAAGTAACAACCCATAATAGAAAATGTGTACAAATTAAAAAAAAATGAAAGTAGGAAAAAAATCTTAGCAAAAGCTAGATCGAGACATGTGTGCTGCTAAGGACAGAAAGACGGTTGTAATCGATTAATGTGGTGCGATGTTTTTGTGCTTACCCACAATCACCTGTGCTACCAGGGGGAATTTATCGGTGCAAGTTCCTTTTATACCGTCGCCTTTCATTCCGAGTTTGCATGGACAGTCATAGCCTTCCAGCCTGTTCTTGCAGATCCCATCACTCGAACAAGGGTACAACTCAGGATTCAGTTTTCGGAGCTTACACTCGTCGATGTCTGAAGACAAAACAAAAAAGGTTAAAGGTTTGAAATCTGGTTTTCGCAACACCAAGAAAAGTTTGAGATCTGGAGTAAAAAAGAGATACTGGTACGAATTAAGGCTTAGTACACCTTGGCATCCATTGGCGATGTAAGGGTTGCCATCGTAGTGTTCCAAGCACCTGCAGACATAGCCATGGGCAGCACCACCAGTCGCGTTGGCACAATAGCTGTTGCCGCTGACGCAGGCGTAGTCCGGAGGTGGTTTCTGGCCTTTCCCCGGGCATGCACCGTTCCGGATGGAGAAGTCGAGCACGAAGGGGACGCCCCTCGGGTACCTCCTGGGCAGCACCTCGACGCCGTACAGGTCCGGCGCGTGGAGAAGCGGTACCAGTCGCTCTCGACCACCATGGCGTAGGTGCACGGGTTGGTCTGCCACATGGGGTTGTCCTCGATGGTGAACCACGTCCCGAAGTCGGTGAGCGGAGCCGCCTCCGGCAGCGCGGCCTGGCAGCAGCCCCGGCTGGAGCATGACCCATTTGTCGCCAGCTGCAGGAGCTTGGGCATGCCCATAAGGTCCGAGAGGCAGGCGAGCGAGAACTCATAGGTGGAGTTCCGGTACGCTGACCACAGGTAGCTCATGATCTTGGGTTCCACCCTCCAGCCCACGCCGACGAGGAGGTTGCGCGTCACCGACAGCAGGAACGGGCCCCTCTCGCCCAGCGCCAGGTTCTGGCACTTGGCGACGTAGTCGCCGCTGAGGTTGGCGGCGTTGCAGAGGGACGAAACGAGGCCATAAGCGCGCGCCTCGCCGTCGGCCACCGATATGTCTATGAGCTCCAGGGCCGTGTTGCCATGGTCGGTCCTCCACACAGGATGGTGCCACCCCACCTTGTAGTATATCTCGGCTATGTGCTGGTTTACTCCGGCGTAGGCGAGGAAGGCGCGGTGGGGAGTGAAGGAGTCGTTGCAGGTGACCTGGAAGCCCTCGCGGAAGCAGCCGGGCTTGGTGCCGAACGGGAAGGGGATGAGAGTGTCGCCGCACCTGTCGGGGCAACCCGGAAGCGTGATCGGCTGCTTCTCATCTTGTTCTGCAGCAGCAGCAGCAACCTGTAAGATCAAGGGAGTTGATGCTGCTGCTGCTGCTGCAAGGAGGACTAGGATTATCGGCAGTGGCTGGGAGTTATGGGATTGCGAGCTTCGCGTGGTGGTCATGGCCGGTACGGTGTTGTATGCTGCCTGCGCTTGTGAAGCAAAAGCTCTATGCCACTCATGCAAATTACACCTAGGTCATTAAGCTCCGGCGGGTGGAGTAGATGGACTTCCACGTCGCGAATATATGCACGGGGGAAATTCCGTGCATACGGGCTATTAAGAGCATCTACAATCACGCGTCTCAAATCTGCCTCATCAGGCGGGCCGCCGGATCACTGACCGGTCACGAAATTTTGACTTAGACGGGCGTGGCAAACGGGACTTAAACGCACGGGCTGACCGGCACCCTCATATTCAGCCCAAATATAAGGTGTATATATATGGAGGCATCCCGGCGTGCTCGCCAGTCGCCACGTCGGATCCAGCCCACACTGGCTCACCCGACCCCACATATATTCACCTTCATCCGCTCGCCGAACCAAACCCTAGCCACTTTAATCCACTTCCCTCCACCACCCATGCACCTTCGGCGGTCTCCGGACGTCTCCGGCATGGTGGGCAGCGAATCTGAGTCCTTCACCTCCAGACCCGTCGGCCCCGAGCTCATCCCACGCGGCACCGAGGAGGAGATGGCCGTCCGGCTTGCGCTCGGCCCTTCGCGGCGGGCGCGGGAGGCGGCGGCAGCCTTCGCGGCGGTGGACGTCAGCGATGCAGAGTCACACTCTCCAGCGCCCCATATGGTGCAGCAGTCCTGGTGCCACAACCTGGTGGATGTCACCGGCTCGTCCCAGGACGGATCCATCATCGATCTGATGTCCACCAGCGTCCAATGGGTTTCGGGCCCCGACGAGAAAGAGTATGGCATGGGAGACGGCAGCGCCTTGAGTCCCGTGAGTCGGCTCGTGTCCCATGCCCTACTCTACCTTACCAGCAACCGAACCAACACTCTGGGGGCGCAGCCGGCCGTACGACATGGGCACGGCGATCGAATGGAGCTCCATTTTAAGATTGCTACGTTGCATGTAATAATATGGATTTGAGGTTTCTAATTTGAGGGAACCCCCTCGCGTAACCCTCTCGCGTCGCTTCTGCGAGCGACCAAGGGGGCGAACCCCAGCCGTCGCTCGTAGTCCGCCGCCTCCAGCTCCCTCCCTTGTCGCGGCCGGCGTGTGCCGCCGATCCGGTCGAGTAGGCGGCGGCGTGGATCCCTTTCTCCTCGCATGACGTCGGGCGCACGGGACAACGGCTTCAGCGACGGTGTCTTGCGGATCCATGGCACGGCGGATCCCGGCAGCGGTGCTTGGTGGCGCGGGTGGATTGGTTGGGCGTGGCGTGCCAGTCGGCTAGACGTGGCTAGAAGATGGAGGTGGGGCTGGGCGTGGCCGGTGGTTGTGGCGGTAGCGACGTCCAGCCCGGATCCGGACTTGGCGGTGGCGATGGCGACGGCTGACCGCGGATCCAACTATGGTTGTGGTGACGTCCCCTCCGCCGGGGATGACGGGCCAGGTGGTGGGTCCGTGTAACGGCCCGGTGGTGACGGATCTTGGGATCCCGTTTCTGGGCTCGTCGCAGGACGTGCGTGGCGGCCGAAGCTTCGTCTGGCATCGACGGCGCTTGATGCAGGATCGTGGCGGCGGTTGCCGTTATATGGGTGACACCAGCGGCTGGCGTGATGCTGGGTGCTCCCTGTAGCGACCCCTCTTCATCAACAATGGCGAACTCCAGGGTCGTGTGAGCGACTCGGAGTCCGGATCTCGAGATAGTGACGGCCTTCTGAGGCCGGTGACGGTATGGGACGTCCCCTCCATCAACAGACCGGATTCGATGCAGCTCGATAGGTGACACATGAGCCTCTCTCGGAGTTTTCAGGCGGTGCCTGTCGTTGGCAGGTGAAGCCACTGGTGGATGTGCTACCAACGGATGCTACACACGACATCTTATGCGGAGACGTCAAGTCATGCCTGCTACCGGCAGGTGAGACATGGCGGCTCAGGTGGAGGTGTCAAGTTTAGCCTGTTGTTGTTGGATCAAAGGTGGTGGGACAGTAGCCGGAGGCAGGCGGTATGGGGCGTCTTTGTCTTCCATTGTCTCCTTCAAAGGTATCTAGCTATCGAGTCGTTGCTAGACGGATAAAGGTGGATGGTACAGATAGCTTCAACGACGAGTTTATGCACTTCGGTGGAAACACAAAATCTCTGATCGGGCTATGTCGTCGCATGCCTGCATCGTGTCCTTACTGAAGATGGTGGACTGAAGCTTTGTGTATTTTTTGTTTATGCTATGTCTTGTATCATAGGGTTAGTGGTTATATAGGGAGTTACTGTCGCAAGGTATATGGTTGCATGCATCGTCCTGATGCAGAAGCCAATGGTTATCCTCCTTTTCAAGAAAAGAAAATCCAAATGAGAAATGCATTATTTGAAGCGCGACCGACTCAATTTGCAAAGTCCGTATGTAGATGCCCTAAACACTTTCTCCTTGCGTTTGCCAGACGCTGCCATGTACCCCACCTCACTGATTCCTGCTGGTAACCTTCGTCTGTTGCTTCGCTCTGCTCAAAAGCAATGAAAAAGAATCTGACATGGGGTCTTCAAGTCTTCATCATGTGCTCCTTTGCTTAAAGCAATCCAATACTAAACAAAAAGAGTCTGACACTAACACTGAAAGGATCTACAAAGACTAAATAGTGATCACGCTGAGTGCTCACGTAGTTGAGTGGCATAAGAGCATCTCCAACAGCAGGCACGCAAAAATGAAGCGGATTTTCAGAACATGGGGCAACGGAGCACTTTGAACCCTCAAAACATGTGCTTAATTTTTTTGAAAAGATTTGATTTTTTTTACATGAATACGCATGGATTGGTCTAGATACGTGTGAAATTTCGTTCGAAAATATGTTGTATTGTACACTGCACAAAAAAGACAAAAACTTCGGCCCAAAATTGGAAAAAACTGGCCCCGAATTTGCATGTATTTTGTCTTTTTATCTCTCACATCCCAGCACGTATATTGGCCAAATTTTGCCACGTTATACTGTATTGCTATACGTGTCTGTACATCAAATTTTGGAATTTTTAAGCCATACAAATTCATTTTTTAACTTTAAAATAACGGGCACAAAGTGCCCGTGCTCAGATGTCAATTTTCAACGCAAAAATTTCTTATTGGGCATCAAAAAGTGCATTTTGCATCATCTGAATTTTTTTACTCCAACAACAGCCCTATAATAGAGCACCAATTTGCATTGCCGACACCGACACTTCGACTCTTGGGGGAGGGGGTGTAGTTGAACGTGACATATCCGCATATATCTCCAAATTATCTCTACCCATGTATAGCCTAACTACTAAAGATTTGGTAGGCTGTACCGAAAATTCATCTCTGCACCCAAGCTCATATGCACCCAAGCTGACGAAAAAAATCAAGACAAATACTAGAAAATTTCAAAAAAAATCAATTTTTTAGGTAGACAATTTGATGCGTGAGGTCCGCTCAAATTTTCAAATCACTTGGACATCTGAGAAGATCTCAGCAAAAAAAACAAATATGGGGTCTGTAAAAATGTTTATTGTTCATGTACTGTTTTGGTCCGATTTGTCTTTTTTGCTGAGAGCTGCTCAAATGTCCAAATGACATGAAGTTTGGAACGGGCCGCACGTATTAGTCGTCTATTGCACAATTTTTATTTGGAATTTTTTAATTTTTTTTATTTTTTTACGATTTTTTTTCTAACCGGGTCCAGATGAGTCTGGGCACTGAAACGGCCTACTCGAGGGTGTACTATATATTAGTGGCAGAGGTAAAGGGTGGTCAGGGTGGGCGGTGGCCCACCCTGAGATTTGGAAACAGCTTTTATACCATATGAGAAAAGCAAAAAAATAAAAGAAAAAATGTATATGTGCAGTAGCACTGCTGGCCCACCCTGGCCTAGTGGGCTAGTCCGCCGCTGCTATATACTAGTATATTATAACGACTCCGAACCTTTCCTACACTTGAGTTGCATCCAATACCTTTCCTACAACCTACAAACCAGAGAAGGCCTAATCATTTTTAGCAATATACACTGCTACATGTTACAATTTAGTAACATAAAATGCTGCATATTCATAGTATAGGTTTAATATGCTTTCAAAAGTACAAAAACAAAATAAATAAATAAATAAATAGAAGGCTAATCCTCGAAAACTGCAGCGTGCCGGCTCAGGCCGAGGCTTGCCCAGCGGCCTGTGGCAAGCCGGCTGGCTCGGCTCGGAAATGGGCGAGCTACTCGTAGGCTCCAGGCCGAGTCACGTGGGCTCACCAGACCACACGATTTTGTGTGGCCGCGGGGGTCTCTCCCGCTCCAAGCCTGCCTCCAGTAGCATCGGAATCGCCATCGACACCGTGCCACAAGTACCTGCTCTGCCCCGGCTCCGGTCCCTCGTCGCGCCGCCCGAGAACTAAAGATGAACTGCCCCTCCTCCTCCTGCTGCGGCGTCTCTCCTCCGGTCCTCGCCAATCCCCGGGTGAGTGAGCTCTTGTCCTCCTCAATCCATTCCTCTCCTGACCTGCACAAGCTCTTCAGAAATCGGCCAGGTTTTCCCCTCTCGAGTCCCCATGCGTGAATCTTTTCCTGTTCTTGGTGATGATAGAAAAAATAATTCTTCTTCTTAATCAATAGGAGAAGGCGAAAAATTGCCTCCGTTTTCCAAAAGAATATTAATCACTGCTAGGATTTAGTGGACACAAATGGTCCCATGGTCTAGTGGTTAGGACATTGGACTCTGAATCCAGTAACCCGAGTTCAAGTCTCGGTGGGACCTTGTTTTTTTGTTGTATTTTTGCTCAGCTCAGTAATACAGCCAATGCCTATTACTGACTCCAGTTACATGATTACATCGCTGTAACGTGTTACTCATTTTTTTGGGTCATTATCAGGGTGAATTCGCTGCTGGTTGCTCCACAAGAACAACTCAGAAGGCGCATTTCTTCGGTTCAAGGCCATCCTCCCAAATCATCTACAGCCCAACATCATCGCATTTGTCCCGGAGAGCTGTAATCGCCTTAGCCGGAAAGCAATCTTGGGACATCGGCAGGTTTGCCAAGACTCTGTTTTTCTTCAACGGGCCTCCAAACCCTCTCAAGGTCTTTGTCACTAACCTGACATTTTCCCTCTCCTGTTAACATGTGTATCTCTGGGCCTGTGCTCATGCATTTGTATTGTTTGTTTTAGATTGTGGAGTCCATAATGAGCAGCATCACAGCCTCCGCTCCTACCGAGGCGCCGAAGAAAGCAGAGACTTCTGATTTGGTGCTTGTCACTGGGGCTACCGGCGGTGTCGGGCGAAGAGTTGTCGATGTCCTGCGAAAGAAGGGGGTGCCTGTCCGAGTATTGGTATTCCACCTACTTTTTGTTTTGTCAACTATAGTATCCATTGTGGCATTTGATCCCGTCAGGGAGCGTGTTGCTCCCTGTTCCATTTTATTTCTCGCTTTTCTTAGAGCTCTGTCTCTCAAATACTTATTTTGTTTTTTATTCAGGTTAGAAATGCAGAGAAGGCGAGGACAATGTTGGGGCCAGATGTGGACTTGGTAGGTCACTTATTTTAGTTGAATTTTGTACCGTGTTTCGCTGCGGGATATTTCATCAGCTATGGTTAGACGGTTAGTTCAGAGAGATCACAGATAATGAGGACTGCAGTGTTCAATGACATTACATAACACTATTTAGTAATGACAATACCATTGCCTACCTCATTGTCACATGTTCCAAAAAACTGTTAGTTCTTTTTGTGGGGCTGAAAAGCTGTTAATTGTTGATAATGAAACTTCAAGTTCTCTGTCCTGACATTCTTCATGTAGCAAAGGACACGGATATATTATATACATGATGCATATATCTACAATGGATCCGCTAAATTCTCTGCTTATGGCACATGTTTTTCTTTATATTATAGTCAATACTTAACTGCGAAGCATCATGTCATCCATATATGAATTTTTATTGCAGATCATAGGAGATGTTACAAAGGGAGACACGCTCGATCCTAAGTACTTCAAAGGGATTAAGAAAGTCATCAATGCAGTTTCAGTCATAGTAGGGCCAAAGGAAGGTGATACACCGGATAGGCAGAAGTATTCACAAGTAAGTCATCTAGTAAATAGTTTTTTTTTTTGAAAAGGAGTATAGACCCCCGGCCTCTGCATCTGGATGATGCATGCGGCCATTTTATTAATTATTCACATCTAGTAAATAGCTAGAGTCATGCTTCTATGATCATCCATTGGCTAAATTGGATGATCTCAACCATCTACTCTAAATCTATAATGTTCATGTGCTAACAGGATTGCAAAACTGCATGTGCACAGAATGACACTTTCATCTTATATTCATGCAGGGCATCAAGTTTTTTGAACCCGAGGTATTGTCATCAATAGATCTTCTCGTCGCATGTATAATATAAGTAAAACTTGATTTATGACATCCTTAACCTTTAACATACAGCCTGAATCTTATATTCATTCCCCCTCTTTAAAATTCCTGTTCACTATATTTGTTTTGCGAATCAGATAAAAGGACCTTCACCTGAAATGGTAGAGTACCTTGGTATGCAAAACTTGATTAATGCTGTAAAGGAAAGTGTCGGGCTAAGCGAAGGGAAACTGCTATTTGGATTCAAAGGTATACCTTGTATTGCTTGATCAAGATAAATTGTCCATTCAAGTCATATTCATCGTAATCCGGCACTATTGTGTTAGCGGGGTGGGTAATACCCTCCTCCATTCAAGTCATACCATGGCTTTCTGCTTCGCTGCTCTGAAGTTTTCCATAACGGGATTCCCATTGAACCGACTCTGTTGTTTTTGGGCTTGTAACTTGGTTTGGAATCTTTACCTTCTTAATGTCCACATGTCCTAAACCTGTCATTTTCTAAATAAAAAAACACAGTCCTATATGTGTTGATGTGGTAAAATTGATTATCTGTTTTTTTGTGGCATAATATTACTATAGTCCTTTGGTGTAAAAGTTGCAAGAAATCCACTTTTTGGAATTTACGCTGGCTCTATTAATAAAAAATAATTTGTTTTGAACTGGATCAGTTGTAAATTCGTTAAGAGAAGTATCATAAATCATTTCCTGACCTACATAAGTGTATTTATTTTCTTTCCAGAATGTTTTTACGTTCCCTCATGCAACATGTTGGTCATTTTGATGTAGCCAATTTATGTGGAAAGTTTGTGTGGGGAGCACTTGACGATGTTGTAATGGGCGGTGTTAGTGAAAGTGCATTCCAAATCCAACCAACAGGAAGTGAAACTGGTGAAGCAACTGGATTATTCAAAGGTATTTGGTTTCCTGTATTTTTAATTGTGTATGAAATGTTAAGACTTCCTTTGAGTAGTCTTTAGCCTAAGTTGTCTGCACATGGACTTTTTAGGTACCGTGTCTACTTCAAATAACGGTGGCTTCACTAGTATAAGGACAAAGGTATTTATTGCCACATATTTTTCTCAGTAATGGAAATTACTCATACATGCATATCATTGTTAATTTTGTGTTTTGTCACTGGAAGCAATCAAGTATTTTATCTGAACTGGTCTGTGTAAGTCTGCAGAATTTTACCGTGCCCGAGGACCTGTCGGCATACGATGGTGTTGAACTACGAGTTAAGGGCGATGGCCGGAGGTACAAACTTATCATAAGAACTAGCTACGAATGGGATACTATCGGCTACACTGCAAGCTTCGACACCACAAAGGGCGAATGGCAAAGCGTATGTTGTATTAATTCATCATGGTACAAATATCTTCATTGTTTGTTTCAATGACAACAACTGTATTCTGTATCCCTGTATGTATCAGGTTAGAATACCTTTCTCTTCGCTGATACCTGTATTTCGTGCCCGTACCGCAACTGATGCTCCGCCCTTTGATGCAAGCAATATCACTGCACTACAGGTATCCTTTTTATTTATTTATCTTTCTCTCTTTTGTGTATGTGTGCCCCTGTATAAACTTGAGGAGCTACCCTAAACACTCATCTAAATTTATTTAGTGTGAAATTTTTGTAGCTCATGTTCAGCAAGTTTGAATACGACGGAAAGCTCAACCCAACGTTTGCAGAAGGTCAATTCGAGCTCCCTTTTTCAAGTATCAAAGCATACATAAGTGAGCCAATTACTCCAAGGTTTGTCTTTTGAGCAACAAGTTTTGAGTAAATAAATATCAGGACATTAGAATAGGTGATCACTTTATTATTCAATTCTACAGAACTCATCAAGACTGGATGATTTTTTTTTATATTTGCAGGTTCATTCATGTGAGCTCTGCAGGAGTTACAAGACCTGAAAGGCCAGGGCTAGATCTAAGCAAACAACCCCCCGCCGTCCGCATGAACAAAGAGCTTGGTTCCATTTTAACTTACAAGTTGAAGGCATGTAGCTTATCTTAGTTGTTATAATATTATCTGAAGGAATCTTTTTTTATGGGTAAAGTTAAAGGCTTGCACATGTAGGCCCATATCATCTCTGACACGTGCAAAGAACTTATGCTTGCACGTAAATGCTTAACATTTGAATGCTTTCAGGGAGAGGATTTAATTCGGGAAAGTGGCGTGCCCTACACTATCGTGCGGCCATGTGCTCTAACTGAGGAACCAGCTGGAGCTGACCTCATATTTGAACAGGGGGATAATATCACTGTAAGTAGAGACAGCATTGTGTAATTGCCAAATGAAATTCCATGTCACTCTTTTTTCTCCTTGTTACGCACCGAAATGATTATACATCTAACAACTACTGTAATAATATTCAGGGAAAGATATCGCGGGAAGAAGTTGCCCGCCTTTGTGTCGCGGCTCTAGCAAGCCCGAGTGCAGTGGGGAAGACTTTTGAGGTTAAATTTCTGCAACCCACTTGCAAAAAAGACACGTAGGGCAGTAGAACTTTACAATTACAAAAGAAAAAAAGTGAAACTTTTGTTTTATTTATTATCTCAGGAAGAAAAGCTAACTGATGTACCTTTGTGATCAGGTCAAGAGCACCGTTCCATTTAGCGAACCGTTTGTGATCGATCCTTCAAACCCTCCTCCTGAGAAGGACTATGAAGTGTACTTCAAAGAACTCAAAGACGGCATAACCGGTAAAGAGGCCCTGGAAGGAACACCTGCTCTAGTCTGAAGAATACGTCGAATGCGGAATGTCCTCTGCTTCAAGAGTGAACTTTGCTTGTGCTTTATGTTCAGTATATAGAAAAGAAAGGAAGTCCCCATGAAACTGCAGAGGACTTGTGGCTATAGAGCTAGGCTGTGGGATTGTCATAGAGCAGCTTTCTGGTAATTTACTGCTGTTGTTTCCACTGATTCTGTAGTATAGGTAATTTGTCTAGGTAGACCGTTTTGGTAATGTGAAGTGAGAATCACCAGTGCATAGAAAAAGGATGTTTACAGTTCCTGCCTGTGGCTTCTTTCCTTCACCTCCAGATGATATTTATTCATTCTTCCTGCATGATTTTTTATTTGCGCAACTTGCAACTGTGGATCTGAAGATTAATGCCCTCAGATCTCAGAGCAGCTCATTAACTGGGAGTCTGAGTACAGATTACATTGATATCAGTCGATTTTCAGACAAGAACAAGTTACTCCAGCCTCCTTTCAAAATACAGTAAAACATCAACAGTTACCACCGCTTTTTACAACACCCAACTATGAGAAGGTTTCGCGACAGCGACACCCTCAGCAAGGGAACGGTGCCGTGCATGAACGCCGTCGTTGCCGGATCCAACCACAATGGTGGGATCAACTGCACACGTATGACCTGCTTATGTTTATATTTCCTTATTCACTCGAGGGTGAAAATGGCGCTCGCCATTTCGGGCCCAAAGTACACCCCAGGGTTAAATCCCCTAATTTCTTACAGAAAACTAAGTACAGTAGTAATTTTCCCGTAAATACATCGATTAGCAAGCCTCCCTAAACTGCAGAAGGATCTATATGATCCCATTGCCCAGAACACCAATGGGCAGTGGTGCATGTCACCAGCAGCAAAACATCTGCATCATCATCAGGAAAAAAGAGGCAACAAACATGAGCAAAACATCTGACTCAACTCTCAGCCAGGTCTCAACAGCTTGCAGTTGCAGTGCTACTAACCTTCCTTCTCCAGCCCCGGCGAGGGCGTGGGCGCTTGGCGCGGGCCGAGGCGAGCGCGAGGACCTCCGGCCGCAGCAGCACGAGCGGGGACCAGAGGCCGCTCGTGTCGTAGTCGAAGCCGAACTCGCTGGCGTCCATGAACTTGCCCAGCAGCTCCTCGGACACGTCCATCGGCACCACCTGCACCACCGTGGCGCCGCCGTGTCCAGACGACGCCGCCGCCTCAGGAGCAGGAGGGGAGGGGCTCAGGAGGTCCAGGAGCGACGGCGGCGATGTCGGCATGTCGTGCTGATCGAGACGGACGAATGCATGGGGGTGCAAGACGGACGGATGTTTTTGGATGGATAGGTGAGATGAGGTGAGATAGGTGGGACGTTGTGTGTTGCTGGGTTGCAGGGCAAGGTGCCACTAGCTGCCCACGGCCACGGCGTGTGGGGTGGGAGAGGGAGATAGTGGGGATGGGAGTGAGGGAACGGGAAGAATCTCTCTCCCTCCCTCTTGCTGCGGCATGATTATAGAGTCGTGGTCGATGCGCATGACCGCATGATTAGGACAGGGCGTTCGCCATTAGGTTGCAGGTCCGTTTAGCTGCTGCTGCCTTTTGTGAGTAGGCAGATTTAGAAGTTATGGTCATGGGCCTTTTGGTTCCGTTCTTTCATGTGACGCATCGCTGTGAAAGGGAGGGAGAGAGATCCCTGAATCACGTGACGGCGATGGCTGGCGGAACTACGGCGACAGATGCATTTAATTTTAAAGACGGGGGCCGTACAATGCACGGACCCGGCGACGAAAAAACGGCTCGCTGGTATATACTGTAGCTTTGTGCATTGTTCTAGAAAAAAGAAGCTTTGTGCATTACTTTGTTTTTTTTATTCGGTGAATACTCTTTTGGTATTTTTTTTGGGTTTACTCTTTTGGTAGTAGATACGTTTTTTTAACGTGGCGCAGGCGCATACACCTTCATGTTGACAAGAACGGCTCCTTCCTCTGAATGCACATCGCCGGAACGTTTGAAATAAATTCAGAAAAATGCGAGCACCGGCGTCAAGTCTAGGACTTGAACCCTAACAAGCTGGGATACCACCGTCCTCCTAATCATTTAACCACAGATTGGTTCACACAATATTTATATTTCGGACAGCATGGTTCAAAGTAACTTTGATTTGGTTTGGGTGTATACCAAAGCATTTGGCCCCCCCCAATACACAAACGGAGTGCCTAGTCACCAGACGTGTGTTTTTCCATTGGGAAACGTTTGGCATCGGCGCACCGGCGGAACGCTTCGGCCGGTGCCCCTCGCTCGCTCGCTTTTTTCCACGGACGGAACATTTTTTTTCTTATATGCTTCTTCTTCCTCTCGCGAGCGCCGCCTCCTGGTAGTGTGTCCCCTCCCCCTCCCCTCTTCCCGAGCTGTGACTGGGCCACCACGACCTTCATCGCCGGCGGCCAGGCTCCCCTCGCCGGCTGCCATGGCTGCCTGCCG